TGTCGAACAACTTTAGCTATTTCAGGTTCATATTCTTTTAATGCTTCAATAGCACTTTCTGCATTTCGTTCCTAGATATTTTTAAAAAAGAATGATATATATGGAAGATAAATAGATGAATAGATATTACCTGCCATACACCGACAGTAGCATTTGCAATGAGAATAAGAAGAATAACAAGTGGCTCAACAAAAGCTGCTACAAGACTGTCTTCTTCTTTGTGTTCTTCAAATAAAGCTAAGACCTATTTAAGAAAATAATGGATAAGAAATAGTATTGAATAAAAGAATAATAAAAACTAACAAATGAAATAGTAGCAGCGGCGAGTAAAATTTTGACTAGGAGATCGTCGAATTGTTCTAAGATAAGTTTCCAAAGTGGTTTACCCTCTTCGGCTGGTAATTCTATTAAATAGAAAAATGTTAAAATATATTAGAATTAAATTTGTTTATTCTTATTTAATTTACCATTATATCCATATCTTTCGAGATCACGTTTAACACGTTCCTCAGAGAGACCTTTGCTCTCTTCAACATTGTAAAAAGCAGCAACATCTTCTTTAGTTTTGGTCCATGGATAGTCAATGACTATCATTGAAACGGATGAACGATGAGCCATGCTTGGTCGATGCATGCCGGCCTAAAGTTAGATGGATACATCATGTCTGATAATTAGAACATAGGAATAACTTTTCGTGTCAACGACTAGTCATTGTGTCCAATCATAGTGTTAGATTAGTGGAAAAAATATGAAATACTATTTACTTAACGAATATAAAAAATTAACTCTCATACTAAATCTCTTTTACTTTAAAACAAATGTAAGAATTGTAGAGGTCACTAGAGGATAGTTGATCAAATTTTCAGTTTAGATACCGTGATTTACTGGGAACGATTATTTTTTCAAGGATATTTAATAGAATTAACCAGTGTTAAAGAGAAATACAAATACTAACTTTTTTCCCTACAGAATAATATAGATAAGGTTTGATGATTATCTATCCGCTGAGAGTATCTTTTAATTTATTATCTACTTTACGCGTAAAATTTATATATCAACGTATGTTAATAGAGTACATATTAAGAGAATTGATATTTTGATTTATGTTCATATTATATTCTTTCAATAAGTATATTACATACTTATCTAAATGAATACAATAGTTACAGATATTATAATAGGAAAACTAATTCTCATATTTTAATTAACATCTGTCGGAGATATAAATACTTTCGAAAAATCTAAAGGATAATACACGGTATCTCACTCACCGACTAAAAATTGCCTAAATAGAAAAAAAAAGAGTTATTCTATTGTAATTTAATGGATTAAAAGTAAAGGACTGTCGCTTTATATTACGCTGAAAAAAAAGGAAACAACAGCTTCTATACATAAAAGAG